CTCCTCATATGATAATCTGCTTCCTAGCCCGGCGTGGTGACGCAGGCCTTTAATCCCAGCACTCGGGAGGCAGAGACAGGAGGATCTCTGTGAGTTCCTAGAGAAACTCTGTCTCAGAAAACTGGGGGAAAAAGGATAGTCTGCTTCTTGCTGGTGAGATGGATCCCAACACAGAGTTGAAAGCAGCTGTCCCCTTCCTCAGAGAAGTAACAGAAAGGCTTTGCAGAGACAGCAAAGAATCAACTTCTAGTACATCCCAGAGGCATCTCCTGATACAGTTTTGCCTTCTGTTCCTGCTTTATTGGAGTCAGACTAGTAGGGAGCATTGGGGTTTTCTACCCTGCAGGGCTCCAGATTCGATTCTCACCCACTGGGCTGCAAAACGGGGGAGGGCTTTGTTTACAAAGCTCTGGTTTCCTTTGTCTACTAGTTACCAGAGTTTCTCTTTTCTGTCTGGTCAAACAGGACACCCCAACATTCTAAGTATTTTCTGATAATTGTGTACCATCAACATGTTCCTGGTCAATTATGGATTAATAGGGGACATCATAACTAGCATGCACTCCAAAGATTACCACCTTCTGTCCCCAGAGAGCCAGTACCAGCCTTTCCCCGACCTTAAACGATCTAATTGCAAATATAAGGGTCACATTCAAAACTCACATCTAGCACCAGTTACTGTATCACTTACAATGTCTGCATTGGCTTACTCAAAATAAAATGCGAACAAAGGTCGCTAAACAGGACAATGTGCAGGCCCAGCTCAGTCCCCAGCAAAGGGCATCATCCATGCTTTTTCTCCACCCCAATTCCCTGTTGTGTTCAGTTTCATACCCAGTGTGACCAAAGGATGAACATGGTAGGTCCAGCCCCTGCACCCTCACAGGTCACGCCCAGACTCCTCTCGTTTCCTTGCTTCAGATCTCATAGTGGGCCATCAGCGAAAAGAAATCTATCTGTAGGCTAAGTGTATGCCGGAGTCTGGGCTGCTGTGAATTGCTGTTCTGTTGATGCTATTGCTGTATACGCAGTGGGGTGAGAATGCCCTGGATCTGAGCGGGGCAGGGGTGGGGTGGGGGGAAGAGTCGTCACCAAGCAAAAGGCAAGGAATGGAGGTAGACCTGTAGCCCCCAGACTGCTAAAGCACAGCAGGCAAAGGGCTAGATAGCAAGCCCGTGTTTCAAAAATAAAACAAAAAGGCTTGGCTCTGTTTCCAAAACACAGTGAAATAGATTGCGAAATTTTCCTCAGGCAGGATTAGGCCAGTTTACATCTACAGGGAATGGAATACTGCACAATATGGTTTTAGATTTTCTTTCTCAGATCAGTTCCAAGTGATCAGCCCTTCATATAACTCTGCTGATAACTGTTCAGGCAAAGGATTACCTCTCAGTTCTGTTCTTTTAAACCAGGTAACTTTCCTATTTTAATATTTTGAGGGGAGCAGTATCAGGTTTCGAACCCAGGTCCTTTCGAAAGTCAGGCCAGTCCTCTGTGACTAAGTTGCATTCCTAAATGGATTCCTCTTACAGTAGATGCACATATGTAGCCTGGCAGTGTTTATCCCCCCTCCCCCTACCCCAAAAAATACTGTTAGAGGGTCATTCTATTGTGGAGGAAGGCACTTTGGGGGTTGAGAGAATGTAGAATTAGAAACATCTGTGCACTGTCAGGGTGCATACACGACACCTGGAGAGGTGGTCCTGGAAACACAATGTAACAGGCCCAAATTATTAAAAACTGAATGTTTTATGGGTGTCACTGTGGCATTGGCTTCCTAGGTGTTGATTTGGGGTGACACAGGATGGGTGGTCTTTACTGCTTTTCTAAGGTTGGTGAGACCTTCACTGTTGTTTCTTAGTTTTCTGTCTGGCATTGGCTTTTTATTTCTGTAAAATGACTATTGAGAACAGATTAGCAGGGAAGGTTCTCTGGAAAACAGCCCGTTCACAGTGTTGCTCGCGGTTGGCGCTTCTTATTTATTGTTTCAGGAACTGTCCATCTTAAGTTCTGTTCCAGTTTGCTTTCTGTTGGTGTGATAAAAACACTGACCGAAAATAACGTGGGAGGAGAGGGTTTATTTCAACTTACAAGTTATAATGAGATCATCATTAAGGGAAGCCAGGGCAGGAGCTCAAACCGGAAGCTGAAGGCAGGAACTGAAGCAGAGATCATGGAGGAGCGCTGTTTACCGACTTGCCGGCTTTCTTACACAGCATAGGCCTAGCTGCTTAGGGATGATACTGCCCGCAGTGGAGTGAGCGCCCCTGCATCACTTAGCAGTTACGAAAATACTGACTAGACATGGCCCCAGGCTGTTCGAATCAAGGCAGTCCTTCGGCTGATCTTCCCTTTCCCCAGGTGACTCTGGGCTTGTGTCAAGTTGACAACTGAAGCTGACTATGGCAAGCTTGGAAAGGAATGTTGTGTTTTGGTGGAATTTACAAGATTTCAAATCCACTATGTACTGAGCACCTACCAGGCCCTGGAAGCTGTATGAGATGCTGAGGAGATGGCAGAAAACAAGACAAGCAGGGTCCCAGCTCTCATGGAGCTTGAATTGTGGTGAAGAGAGACAGAGAGACAAATACAGTATCAAGTGATGACATACATTCTGCAAAGAGAAGGAGCAAGCCTGGGGGGGGGGGGGGTGGCGGTGGCTCACCCTTTAATCCCAGCACTCACTCGGGAGGCAGAGGCAGGTAATCGCTATGATTTCACAGCCAGCCTGGTCTACAAAGTGAGTTCCAGGACAGCCAGAGCTAGAGAGAAACCCTCTCTTGGAGAGGGAGAGAGAGAACAGAGATGGGACCTGGGCAGTTTTACTGACATCTAAACAGTGAGAAGGACCCAGGAGAGGAAGGCCCAGGTGAGAGGACTTGTGAGTATAAAGCTCACCAAGATGCAAATGAACTTGGTACAGTTAAGGAACAGAAAGGGTAAGGGGGTGCGGGGTGGGGGCGGGGGGATTAGCAAGAGGGTTTGAGCCGGGCTGTGGTGGTCATGCCTGAAATCCCAGCACTGTGTGGGTTGAGGGCAGAGGCAAGATTAGAGCAAGTTCAAAGCCAGCCTGGATGTCCAAGGGCTAGGAAAAGGCAGATCTTCTGGGCCCTGCGGTGGAGGCAGGGTGTCTGGGGGTTGTAAATGAGTGGAAGCTGTTGAGGGGCTTAAGCAGAGGAGCGTTATCTAATTCACATTCTGTCTTACATAATAATTCACCTCAAGTCCAGTCAGTATAGACTGCATTTACAGATTTCATTAAAGATGAAATAGACCTAAATTCTCTATACCTACTCCCTGGAGTTCTTGGGAGTTCCTGCCTTCTAAGTGACATGCTGCCTTCTTATCAACCTTTCACTAATGAGTAGAATAGCCACGGAAAGGGTGCATACTGAATAGTCTCTCTCTCCCTCCCCTTCTCTGCCCCCCTCCCCGTGTGTGTGTGTGTGTGTGTGTGTGTGTGTGTGTGTGTGTGTGTGTGTGTGTGTTTGGGGTACCTAACATAGTGAACTTCAAAATAACTCTGTAAATACGTAGACAAATCATCTCATTGCTCGTGTTCTTGTTTTAGACCCAGCTATAGTTAGACTTCCTCAAAGATTTCACTCAAGCATTTAAGTTTTGAGTTGACAGCATTTTCTGTTGCCCCAAGGGCTTTCAGACTGGCTGCCAGCCTCCGCCTCCGTTTGGCCTCGTGCCTCAGATCCCCGTTTGAACACCGCTTGTCCTCAAGGCCCTGCGTTAGGCAAGAAAGAGGTCCTGCATACCTTCAGACAGCGCCAGGCTAAGTCAAGGACCCTGGTCACTCACCCTTCCATGTCCACTTCTAGGAATTGTGCCCAGGGCCTAACTCGGATCTCAGGAAATCTGAGGTTACTACCTTTCAAACTTAGGGCTCCTCTGTCCAGCACTCCAATATCTGTACTTCTGGTGTTGGGATGGCGCCATCCTAAGCACCAGAGGAAGTTTAATATTCCTGGTCCCACTGCATCCTACAGGCCTCTCCTTCCCAGTCTTCATGGAAACCACCCCCTATGCTTTCTCATCAGATACTTGCCTAGGTAAGGGAGTGTCGGGTAACGTGTAGTCTCTGGGCAGTCCGAATCAGGACTCCACAGGCAGGGTTCACAGTGAAATTTCTGAAATATGCCACTGTTTTTCACTCTTTCAACTGAAGCCTTTTTCTCAGTCCTGTGGTATGTGTTGCCCAGATGTGTCAAGAGAATTGTGTGGATATTTTTTGCTACTCTATACATGACCCAAGGCTGCGAAATAGGGGGCTCTATTCCCTTGCCATACACCTCAGAAGAAATCTAAATCTCTCCTCTGCCCTCACTTTCTGTGTGCTTCTGTCCAAGACCTTCTTAAAGAGTTGGTCGTTGCCCTGTGAGTATGGAGAGGAGAGACAACACATTTGCTCTAGAGGGCGGTGCGTCTGCAGCCTGCCCTGTGTCTTTTATCCCGACTTAGACCCTAGTGGCATTTCCAAGCTTGCTAGCTGTGATGTGCCCAACCTGCACGCCTCACCAGGATCCTGACTTTCTCCCCGCACACTTGAATGTTCTCTGCAAATGAGGAAGGCTCACTTAGACTAATTCTCAGTGCACTCAAGGGCTTTTATTTCTCGAGTGACTCTTCTCAATATTGCTAAATGAAATAGTCAGAATTGAGAGTTGTGCTTTCAAATTGAATTCTTTTGAAGGAATCTCAAGTTCCAGGAGTAATTATTTTTGTAGTGGTGTCGAGGGGAAAAAAAAAAAGGTTGTTAACTGGAGAGAGGTACAGAGACCAACTCAGAGCATCCAGTGGTTCCGTTCTATCCTGAAGGAAGGCGAAACTTTTTAATTTGGTTTTTTTTTTTCTTTGCTTCTTAAGTAAAACCAATCTAGTTTCTTTTTCTATAGCAAAGGAGGAAGGACCAAATGAGAAATTAATCAGACAGGAAGTGAATACCACAGAAAGCTGCCTGCCTCCCTGACTCAGTGTGTCACCCTGAACAGGAGGCCAGAGCTTGTCCAAAATGGCTGCCCAGAAACAACCCCTCGCTTGTGTGAGAAGATGATGCCATTTTAAGGGACCGTTTTCTGTTATGGCTCATGTCTTGCTTGCTCTCTATCTGCCTGAGTCCCTGATCATGCCTGCCTTTTTAACGGTAAGAAAAACTGTATTCAAACTAAATTTCCTTCCTTTATCAGCAAAAGGGAAGAACTAAATGGTGTTTAATGGGCCATAGTATGTCGAGATAAAGCTGTTGAACTGTTCTGTAGAAAACCCTGTGGTTTATTCCTGCCGCCTGCTATGGTGATTGTGAGTGCTTCGGAACATGTTCGGAGCCAAGATGGAAGTGAGATTTTCTGTAGACTTTTTCCTGACCATTGGGCAAATTTGGATCCACATTAATTTCTTTCCCATTTTCCCATGAAATGGTGGCTTATGTCAGTTAACATGTCTGCTGTGAAAAGTCAAGTCAGCTCCAGAGAACTGCCTCTGAGTCTTCAGTTAGACCTGCCATAGGATGTTCTAAAGTATAAGCTAGTCACTGTCAGTTTCAAAGCAAGGCACCCCGCTCTGTACCTGCTGAGGCTGATGCTGTTGGGCTGCCACAGATGTGCTGTGTTCCAGGCTCAGGCATTGTTAGGAACATCTTGTTTTGTCTTTTAGAATAATTCAGTCGACACCAGAACAGCACAGAGGCAACTACTGATGTTAATCAGACTCAGTGCCATTTGTCGTAATTAATTTTAATATGGTTATATTAAATTATGTCAACTGTAAAATGTAACTCTAAATTTTAAAGCTGTGCACACAGAGACCAATGGAGCAGGATTAAGGAAATGTTTTCTATCAAAAAGAATCCTCTAGGCTGAGTTTGGAAAAAAAGCAATTTATGTTCCTTTTTCCCTCTGCAGAACTATAGAGTGACTTTTAAAACTAAGGAGGGTGCAGACGACTTTAGTCAGTAGGCACAAGAGTCTTCTTCACTAACTTAATGTGTAGCTGTTTGTAGAAATACAAGTGTAAATGAAGGCTACAGAGGAATTCTAGTTCAGAAAGTAGAGGGCTGCGTGTAGACTGTCTGGTAGAGTGGGGGTTGGGGTGGATTAGACTAAGAGGGGGAGGGGGAGGAGGGAGAAGTGGAGGAGGAGGAAAAGGAAGAGGAGCAGGAGGAGGAGGAGGAAGAGAAGGAGGAGGAAGAGACGGAGGAGGAAGAGGAACAAGGGAAGGTTTATGGCCTTGGGTTCACCTGAGAGTCGGTCTTAGAGTGTTTTGGGCTTCTCAGTGTTACGATTTAGCCTCACACACAGCATTTTGTTGGTTCTGATCTAGTCAAAACTCCTTTTCTATAGGTCTAAAGAGATTAAATGACTTGTCTAAACCACAGGCGGCTTTTCTGATGCCCTTTGCAAAGTTTATCTGGGGTTATTTGCCCAACTCTCCAAAGGCTCCATTTAAACTGTGGAGGGGGCACAGCCTGGAAGAACTGAGGTGACGTGTGGTCCCTGGGGCCAGCAGTAATCTCACTCTGTTGAGGAAATCAGATTCTAGCTCCGGCCTGTAAGCTGGAACTCCCCAGACCTATGCTCAGCATGTTAGAAGAGGTGAGCTGTTACGTTCCAGACCCATGAGGTCTGGGTAATGTTTTAATGAAGACATCATTTGTGTTAGAAGTTTCTTTAAACTTCTGTTGGAAGTGTAAAGTTCCTCTTTAAATTCTGATACATTTATCCCTTAAGGATTGGCTCAATTTTTTTTATCAATTTTTTTAGGCATGTGCCCCGTATTGAAAAGAACATTTACTTTGGACTGCCATAAATATATCTGTATTTTGTGACCTTAAGTTCTAAAAAGTAAAAGTGAAGCAAAACTAGAATAAGAAATACCTTAATAAGGATATTTTTCTGGGAAATGTAAAATGTGCTTTATTTTTATTTATTTGTGTATGTGTATGTGTGTGTGTGTGTGTGTGTGTGTGTGTGTGTGTGTGTGTGTATGCACGTACACATGAGTGTCTTTGTGAGTTTATGTGCATCATGTGTGTGCAGGTGCCTGCTGAGGCAAGAGAGTATAGGATCCCCTGGAATTGGAGTTACAAGCAGCTGTGATATGGGTGCTGGGAACCGAACTCAGGTCCTGTGGAAGAGCAGTAAGACATCTTAACCACTGGGCCGTCTCTCCAGCCCCCAAGACTGAATTATACATGTGTCTCTTCATCTCCTTTGTGATTCAGTGGTGGCATGTGCACATGGGGGCTAAGGTTTCACACTCACTCGTCACTTAGTGTGTGATTTGTCCTTTACTTTTGCTTTTCCTTTATTATTAGTTTTTAACTTTTAACAAATGGCTAATTAAACCCTGCCTCATTTAACTCATAAATAACCCTAATTAAGTAGGTACCATTATGTCCATCCACAGTGGAAACTGGACTTAGGCAGGCTAAGTCGTTTGCCCAGGGCCACCTGACTGCTGAGTGTGGAGGAAATTTTCTGGATTCCAAGAGCATTTTCCACCTGCATAGCCGGGACTCACATGATAAGTTGTACAGTTGGTTTCCAGGTCCTGAGAATCAGGGGTTACAACATGTTTTGTTTTAATTATCATAGTAACATTAAACATGCTTCAGATGATTAATCACAAGTAAAATATTTTCCTTTCTAAGTATTTTGACCTTTTTAGAAATAAATCTGGTGGCATTTCAGCACATATTACAAGGCTATGTTGACCCGAGTGCTCTGTGTGTGTGTGTGTGTGTGTGTGTGTGTGTGTGTGTGTGTGTGTACTGCAGGTTGGAGGCAGAGATTAATCCTCTTGGGAATACTAAATATGGTGCTGAGGATTTAGGGAAACTTCAGCTTGGAGCTTCGAGCCCCTTAAAGAAGGCACTAGTAAAGGATGCAAGACAGTGGGAAGAAAATGAGTTTCACTTACACGCGAGAAGTAAAGATTCCCGGCCCTTATCCCGTAAGTTAAATCAGAGGTAGCTGAGTCACCAGCTAAACATCATGGTCTTACTTTTAGAAAGGTTTGGGATGCCTATAATTTCTGTTAATTTTTAGATATGTAACATAGTGGATTAAAATGTAAACTTCATGGTAACCTCTGTTTCTCCTGCAGTCTCTATTGCCATGAAATTGTGAGTCTGTGTCCCAGGTCGGTCTCCGTGTTGCTCTGGAGAGTGCTTCCGGGGCCACATGCTAGCAAGCACCCTACCAGCACCCTGTAGCCTCAGCCCTAAACCACCTCTTTATCTAGAACTCTGAATGAAGCGTGTCTGAGTTAACCGGGGCCTTCCAAGTGCAGCCGGCACAACCGGCTACCATGAGAACGAAAACAGCCCTAGACATCACTGAAGCTCTTGTTTCAAATGAGCAGCTGAGCAGAGAACAAGTGCAGGGGACCGTGGAGGATTCTGGGCGCAGCCCTTGTGGGTTCCACACTGGACACAATTAGGGGCAAACCTTCAGTTCAGGAGGGGTGAAGTAGCCAACAGTAATAACGACAAGCCTGTCTACACGGGTTTTAAGTCTCTAAAATGGCCATAGAGGATACCAAGTGTGTGTTGGGGGGGAGGGGAAGAGCAGATGTTGCCTAGCAACTGGTGTCATAAAATAGAAACTACAGGCAACTGCACCTGTGAAAAGATTGTGTTAAAGAAACAGGATGACTGTGGTTTACTGTGAGCATCAGTTTTCCCGTTGAGCTCTTTTACAGGAAGTTGAAGAACAAAGCCAAATTCACCTTAATTAGTTTTAATGGTTTTCAGGTCTTAAAGACATCCAACTCAGTTTGCATTGTGGAGTCTCTAAAGGATAAAATCAAGAAGAATTTTTCCAGTAGGGATCTCAAAACTCTGAGCTTTTAAAAAATTCATGATTTTAGCAGCAATTTCATATTACTCAATAAGTTTATGTGCCTTTGAGTAGATCCATAGCTTCTGGAGTGAATGCCCTTACATTTATTTATTTTTATGGTTGTAATAACAATGCAAATTTAAGACCCCTGACTTATTTAAACATTAGTGAGTTATATGTATTCTAAAACTTCTTGTATTAATATCTTGGCCGAACATGGCGGGGGAGGAAGGGAGGGAGAGAAGGGGAGAGAGGGAGAGAGAGAGAACACATTTCCCCAGCCTGAGAGAGGGGTGGATAGATGCCCAGGCATACATACATACATGTATTTATAAGCTAGAAGGATATACATCAAAATAAGAACCATTTCTGAGTGTTAATTTTACCCCAGCTCCGTTTTAATCTAAAAGTTAATTATTATTGAATGCTTTTTTTCTGAGGACAAACAGAACTTTTGGTCTATTTCTGGGTTGCCTCCTATTTTCCACAATGTTCCCCCTTGGAATCAGGGGAGAAAAATAACAAAACTAAGTTGGAAGGGAGCCAGGAGCACACAAGCAATCATGGAAATAAATTAAGGGCGCTATATATAAACTGTTATTGGACTTAAATTATAGAAAGAATGTAAAAATACCAAGGGCAAGAGAGCAGTTGGACCTTCAGGTCTGTTGCCTTGTTTCTGAGACACCCTCCCCCATCCTCCCACACTTAGGGCACACAAAGCACCCAGCTGTTTGAACCCTTTTGTGGCATAAGGGCTACTTTCCTCTGTTCTGTTTTATGTGGCATAGTGTTTAAGGGCAACTTCTGGCAACGTTTACAGAGCAAGATGCTCTGAGTTTTCAAACAGCCCCCAGCCGTAGGAAAAAAAAATGGATAAAGCCACTTCCGGTCTTCTCTAATGGAACCCCACCCCCACCCCCAGGGTTAGAACGCCCCCTTCCGACGACTGTGGTGCTCCCAGTGAGTTTATTGGAAATCCTCCCTTTAGATTATTTAGTGGTGTGGGCCTCAAAGAGTCAACTACAGAGTGAATTCTTAATTAGCTTTAGACTAAGAAGCATCTTATTTCGATGACCAGCAAATTCTCTCATTCATTCATTCAAAATCAGTCATTTTATGTTCCGGGATAATTCTGTCTTCCTAGCGTATTGGAGAAGTTGTGAGTTTCCTGGGGCAAATCTGTGGTTGAGCCTCTCTAGAAAAGGGAGTGGGCTAGCAATTCTTTCATTCATGGTATTCTTCATAATCAGCGCTGCATAGTTAACAAATGGGTCCCAGCTGTGAGATACCCAGGTGCTCCAGGATCAGGGTGTGCTGTCCAGTGCAGCATTGAACCATGGCATTGTACTTCTAAAATACTCACTTGGTTTGGGTCACCCAAATTCACAAGTGCCTGATTCCATCTGTGGACCCTGTGGGTGTGATGATCCAGACAGGAATGCTGGTCCCTTAGGGTCTATGCCCTGGTGCCAGGGTCCCCCAGGAAGGTCAACTCTAACACATGTAGGCTGTAGAAGACACTGGAAAGCCCTGTTTTTCAAGGTCTTGGGGTTTTAATTCACTCAGGAAGTCCCAGGCTGCCATAAAAAGTCTCAGCAGTTGACACTAGCAAGCCCCTCTGAGATACATACATTCTTTGCCCAAGCCTCATAGCACACTAGGTGTACTGTGAGCCATTCCAGTGACAAGCACTGGGTCTGCTCATGTAATCCCTGCTCCTTACTTTATGTCACTGGGGAGACCTGGTGGAGTCCATAGTCTGGTAAGAAGACAGCCAAGATGTGGGCCTGGCAGTGAGCCCAGCCTGGGGAGACACAAAATTGGTCTTCTTTGATCCATGTGGTGAGTGATGTGCCAAGACTGGCATCTGGGATTTCTGGGATTTGAAAAAAGCTCCCTTAAGGCTCAGCCTGGAAGGGTCCAGACCATGCTTAGACGCTAGTCAGCTAAAGAGCAAAAGTACATGGCAGCAGCCTTTTAGCAGTGAGGTGAGCGTGGGGATAGTTCATCTGGAGCCGCAGAGATGTCCTAGTCTACGACAGTTGCTTACTTCAAAGGATTCCAGCCTAGGTACCAAACAAGCTTTACCAAAAAACTGCTTCAGCCGGGCGGTGGTGGCGCACGACTTTAATCCCAGCACTCGGGAGGCAGAGGCAGGCGGAGCTTTGTGAGTTCGAGGCCAGCCTGGTCTACAGAGTGAGATCCAGAAAAGGCACAAAGCTACACAGAGAAACCCTGTCTCAAAAAACCAAAACAAACAAACAAACAAAAAAAAAAACAACTGCTTCAAATGGCAGGGAGCAGGGTGGTGTAGTCCAGTGGGAGAGCAGGGAGCAGGGCAGTGTAGCCCAATGGGAGAGCAGAGACCAAAAGGACATGATTCTAATGAACGAACTTGGGGATTTCTAGTGAGGGACTCAGTTTTTCTAGGTCTTGGAATTCCTGGCTGTAAGATGAACGCAGCTGAGCTAGCTTGCAGTGTTGTTGAAGTTAGTAACTGAGTAAATAACCTGGAAAATACACTCGCCGCCCTACTCCCCCCAGGGTCTCCCTGCAGCTCTGGCTAACGGGGTAGCGGGGGAGCTTGCTGTGTAGACCAGACTCACTGTGTAGGCTTCAGACTTGCCATGGTTCTCCTGAGTCTGCCTCCGCAGTACTTGGATTGCAGGGGTGCCCCACCACACTGGCTAAGTTCCATTTCATAGTTAGCTCCCTTTGAAGGGAATGAGTCCCAGATGTCTTCAGCCTTGTTTAGGAGCAGGTGTGAGGAATCTAGCAATGTTGTTCACAGGAAGCAAGCTGTCCACAGTATTTCAATGGATGGCTTGTTTCAAGGCGTAAATTTTCCACATCAACTTTTTAGTGGTTGAGCTAAATTAATATTTAAGCTCTAAGAAATTGTTTTCTGCACTTGGGGGAGACTATTGAGAATAAAGGCAAATAATTCCTGTGTTTGGAATTTGGGCATATGTTGTATAGAACTCAGGTGGCTGGTGTCCCAGGCTGCTCACTGGCTTAAAGCACAAACTGTGTAATAAAGATTCTTCAATTTTAATGCTTTTGACCCATCTAGGGATTTTTTTGTTTTTTATTTTTCGAGACAAAGTTTCTCTATTTAGGCCTGCCTGTCCTGGAACTCGCTCTGTAGACCAGGCTGGCCTCAAACTTACAGAGATCCACCTGCCTCTGCCTCCTGAGTGCTGGGATTAAAGATGTGCGCCGCTGCCGCCACCACCCCCACCGGGCAACCACCTAGAGGGATTTTACTAAAATGTTGGACCCGATTCAAGGGGAGCTGGAAGGTGGGAGAGCAGGAAATATTTTATGCAAATAAGTGAGGGAGAGGATGTACTCCTTGAAATGTGTTTGACCAGACTGGGATTCATTTTCAGTAGCTTCCAGAAAATCTTCCTGCTTCTGCAGGCACAGACTTGGAGCCGCCCTGTTCCCCTGTGGCCTGCAGCGCGGGACAGTCGTGGTACTGGGCGTGACTTTCAGTGTCCCTGCACCTCCTTTCACCCCTCCTCTCCCACCACGGTCCCCCGAGACAGTCCTGCTTGAGCGATGAGGGAAGACTAGTACGTCCCATCCCCTTCGAAAAGGTGGCCCGTGTCACTGCGGCAGAATAGGAGGGAGGTTCGGACCGACATTACTGAATGAGCTAATGCACCGATGTGTTTTGTTTTTACAGATTTATCCACAAGACTGTTGAAATTTTAACTGTCCAAGATGCCTGTCCCTCCCCCGCCAGCACCGCCGCCACCACCAACATTTGCTCTCGTAAGTACCTTTGCTCTATTTACTTTTTCTTAGAAAAGGGGAAAAAAATCCCTAGAAAGGGTCTTGCTGCATAGTCCAAGCTGGTCTGCGACTTCTGTCTGCACCTCCCAAGAGCTGGGATTATTTATGGAGCGTGCACAGTGGCTTTCCCCCTTCGCGCTGTGCATGATGACCAAACAAAGTCAAACCCTGGCATGTAGTTGTGCCGTAAGTGCATCGGCATTCTGGCATACGTCTACTATAGAAGGCTTTGCCAGGGCCCAGTCTTTTCTGAGGTTAGAACCTAGTTGAGACCTCTCGAAGCCAGGCAACACAAAGGATATGTTTGGTCAAGGTCTCCTGGGATGCAGGCTGGGGAGTCTGGAGTATGGATCATTAGGCTTCCTCTACCAGGCACCCCAAGGTACATGGGATAGTTTAAAACAAGGCTTTTCAGGACGGCTCTGAAGCAGTAGGCCCCGTTTCTCCATTCAGATAAACTCAGTGCCTAGCCAGTCCCTTTTGAGGGTGCAGATCCAGAAGTGAGGGCCCTCTGCAATGTGTCCGCGTCTTCCGGTCTCACTCCTTTCGTCCTCTCCACCGTCTCCCCTTTCTTCACACTCTGTTCTCAACGGAGCTATCCCCATCTCCACCACCACCTTCCCACACTCTCTCCTACCCCACTTAAACCTGTCCTGTGTCTGGATGATCCCTTCCCAAAAGAATGTCGTCGCTGGACGCCTGGTCCTTTGATGAGCCTGTCGTGGAATTTAGTGCGTCCTCTTTCAGGAAGACCCCAAGATACACTTCATCCCAAAGGCCCCGCCACCATGGGAGCCTTGCTGCTTGGGAGCCGCACACTGATGACCCATGCCTTTATTTCTTATATGGGGAAACTGAGGCTTGAGAAGAAAAAGTCCCTTGCTCCAGGTTCCCATGGGACACATTTCTATAACTCCTCTGAGTCTCCAGCCCACTAACAATTGATCCCTCAGCTTCCTGAGAGAGTCTCTTAGGGCAAAAAGGCAGAAATTGTGTTTAAGCATTTAGAAATATTTATAGCAATTTCATGCGAGTTAGGTTTATTCTAAGGTAGGGTTTATGCATCTTTTTAACCATTTGTTTTTATAATAATTTATTTTTCTTTTTATAAGAGTGTCAGTCCATGAAATTTTAAGCAGCCCTTGTGTGGATTAATTAGAAAACACTCTTAGCTGACTAATGTGGAAAGATTAGTTTATCTGTATTTCTCCCAAAATGTGAGTTGCCTATCATTATTAATTGGCACATGAGTTAAGTTTTAGAATGCTAATGCTGATATATTTATTTTAATATGTGTTCTAAAAATTTATGATTGGCACATTAAAGCCAGGGGCTGGTTTAAAAGCCAGTGATTTCATTGAAAAGAAAGCGTTCATTAAAAAAACAGTACAGAAAATAATATAGTGAATGAATTTAAGGAAAATATTAAATAAGTAACACAGTTAGCATGAGGAGATTTTGAAAACCTTGAATGTTGATTCTAAAGGATTAAAGGTTGAAGGTAGATGTGGTGGCTCACCTGTAATCCAAACTCCAGAGACTGAGGCAGGAGATTGATTAGAGACCAACCAGGGATGCAAACACAGAACTCACAAGATCCAGGCAGAAGGAAAGGGGGATTGGTGGCCATCGGGGGACACTGACCCAGCTGAGCAATGCAATTAAGGGTCCTGGTCTGCCGCATGAGAGAGGTGGCACCCAAGGAGGTCAGGCGACAAGAAATCTTCAAGTCGAGCAGGAAGCCACTGTTGAAGGCTGATGACACATCAGTTAATCTCTGGGCCTGAGCTGATTTTCATTCTTAAAATGAAGGGACCAGGTGGTCCCTCCATGGTGTTTCAGGTGTAAGCAAGGATAAGGTCACTAGCGAAACCAAGTTACCTCTGTGAAGAATGTATCTGGAAGGACAGTGGGAAGCTCCCAGCAGGCTGCTTGGGAGGGGTGCAGGGGGGGCGGGAGGGGGGAGGTGTTGAAGGCTGATGAAGAAGGAACATTTGGGAGCCCACATTTACCCTTCCTTCAGATTCTAGGGAAGGCCCTGGAGTCTTACAGCCAGTGTTCAGATCTCAGCTCCTCCTCTTCGCCTCTGCCACAGGGGTGGGGGTGGGGGAGATTTAACTCGCTTGCACTACATGTTTTCATTGGTGTTTCTGCTTTGGGTTTGTGTGCACACGTGTCTGTAAAGTGGAAAAGCACACCGGGTCGACGAAGACTGAAATTAAAATGAAATACGGGACACCGAAAGTGCTTAGCCGTTGCCATCACAACCAAGGGCTATCTCACCCTGTTAGCAACGTGATGTCCAGTGATTCCGTGTAGCCGAGCTGCCCTTCCGCCTCCCACTCTGACGGTGAAAGACAGAGGGAGGCATCGAGCCGTGTGTTTCTCCAGCTTTACTTCTCATGCCCATAACCGGCTTATCTGGGATCTCACCCCTTTCAGAAGGGTGGGGCCGGCCCTGGAGGACTCTGGGCCTGCTGGAAGGAGCTTTGGCTTTGAGGCAGCCGCACTTTCCCTGGGAGGAGCAAGAGCCCGTCAAGTGTCCACATGTGAGAAATGCTTACTTTCACATCTATGGGTTAGACCCCGAGTGTCCACATTCCTAAAGTAACTGTAAGGGGTCAAGGTCTCAGTTTCCCAGTGACGAACTCTGAGATTTTAAGAAATGCCCAAACATTTTTAAGTAGCGATGTACTTTCTCTGAGCTAAGCTTTCAAAGGAATTAAACATCAGAAACATCTTACAGTCAAAAGAATATGAGGGAATTGTGGGGTAAGGAAAAATATTCTATTCCGTATCTTGACTATATGTTTGTCAAAACTAATAGTACTGTGAGCTGACAGGAGGGAGTCACTATAATGGAAATTATGCCATAATAAATCTGACAAATTAAAAGAGAAAAATCGCTTTTGTCAATGTATTCAGAGGGAGATGTTTCCTAAAAGTTTCGTGAGTTTTAAAACCTACCCTGGTCTGACAGAGTCTGGCAATTCCTTGCAGCAGGTAAGTGCTGAGCGATGGGAGAGGCCTTCTGTCCTTCAGGACACAGCCTCAGAAGAGGGCTGGTGGCAGACAGCAGAGTCATGTGAGGGGACCAGCACACCCTGTCTGTTTGTGGGAAGATTATGGTCTGAAAATTGAAATTTTTATCACAGACTTATTCTTCCTGTGTTTTGTTGCTGTGTCTGCTCCCAGATAGCTAGTCTTAAAAAGAATGGCATGGCATTCAAAACTCACACAGAGTTTACAGCCGAGACTCTCAAAGCCACAGCGCATGATTTTACCCCAAGGGTGGCAGATGAGCCTGTGTGGTTACCTTTCAGGCCAATACCGAGAAACCGACCTTGAATAAGACAGAGCAGGCTGGGAGGAATGCTCTTCTCTCCGACATCAGCAAAGGAAAGAAGCTGAAGAAGACAGTTACCAATGACAGAAGCGCGCCAATATTGGACAGTAAGTAGAAACCCTTTCCCACAGCGCTAACTGGTTTACAGCCTAATGGTCAGCTTACCCCGCTCACCAAACCCTCGTCTCCCCTCCCCCTCATGCTAACAACAGCTGCAGAGCTAGCAAAAGACAGGCCTGTGTTAGTCACTGTAGCCACAGCTTTGGCTTGAGCCCCCTCTAATGCTCCAGGAAGCCAGCATAATAATTCTTTGTCCAAGAAACACACAGCGGCGATTCTCTGAATTATTCATAGCGCTTTCTGGAGATTAACCCATTGCTCCTGGCGTCACAGATGACAAGGAGGCATGAGACATGGAAAGTGCCATGGCCTTCGAATCAGGAGTCAGGGCCCTGCACGGCCATCAGGCCACAACTTCCAGCCTTAATATCTTCATTTGTAAAATGGAGATGATGCCTCATTACAGACCACGTGAGTCTGTTGTGAGCTGCAAATGAGATAATGCTTTGTCTAGTGCTCTGTTGTCTGCAGAGTGGAACTCTAGAGAAAGATGTGATTCCCAGGAGGTTGGAGAGAGGAAATAAGATCACAACTTGCTTATCTGTGCGTCTGAGTCCAAGAAGTCTTCTGCAGTAAAACAGGGCTTATATAAACAAACAAGGACGCACAATGTAAGCCTCCTCATCGGCGGCGTTTACGATGGAGTGAGAACCGTCCCTGACTGGATTGAGGTCTTGACACTGTCCTTTCCATAGCACTGGGATTTATCATAGCCTCAGATCTCATTCAGAAACTGGCAGTCACCAAGTACAGCTTCGCAGACAGGTGACTAAGGATGCAGGGTTTAGGAGGGACAGAGGTAGGTGGGGAATCCCTGGGAAAGGACCTAATGGGTAGAAAAGGAAGAAGCGTGTGTGTGGTGGTGTGTGTGTGTGTGGGGGGGGTCAGAGTTGGAAGAAAAAGAGAGGAAAATGGAAAGGAGGAAAATAAAGACTTTGAACAGGACTCTGTTGGCGGGTACATATGAGAATGCACGGCATTCAGAAAGGCACTGTGGGTTTTCAGCATTTGACTAACAGTCCATCTCTAAACGCCCCCACAGTGTTCGTGTCTGGGAGCCCAGCACAGTTTAGCTGGGAAGCTTTGGTCCAACAGCCATCTGAGTTATGGTCTCTAGCATGCAGCTAGAGAAACTAACAACTCTAGGACATAGGACACCAGCTCTCTCCTCTAAGAGTCCGGAACCTTGAAGAGTAGGTGTGAGTTTCTTGCCAACTCTGAAGGAAACTGGACAGCCTGGGCCTATTCCTGACTCCTAATGGAAACTCCTCCTAGTCTTCAAGGTCCGTGTCTTCCATTGTACGGAAATAACATTAGCCTCTCCAGCTCAGCGGAGCTGAGGATGTGCACCTGACAGCTGTAGCCCGATGTATGCCCTCATTGTCCTGTACTTAACTGGATACCCATACTGCTGTCCAGGCTCTTTGTAAATAACCAAAGTCTTCCCTGGTTTTGTACTTGTTTACAAAATCTCCCTGGGCTCTATATCATGATAGCTTTTTAATTGGGCCCTGTCCTGCCCTTGACAGGAAATGGCCTGGAACCAGTCAGCTGTCCTCAATTTCACTTTTCTGTATTAGTCCACTTTCTGTTACTGTAGTAAAATACCTGATACCAGGCACTTTATAAGGAAAAGAAGTTTAGAGGTTTAAGAGTATGGTGTTGGCATAAAGCAAGATGGAAAACCAGAGACGGGAACAGCCAGTGTTGCTGTTTTATAATAAACCCTTTCAGAATTTCCGGAGTCCTATGAAACCACATTAGTTCCTTCTGAGGGCAATAACAAGTACCCCCCCTACCCCAACCCCATGCCACTCCCCCTCCACCCCATCCCACCACCCCTCCACCCCCCTCACCCACCCACCCCTCACCCACCCACCCCCGTGCACAAATGGCCTAATTATGTCCCACCAGCCCCTATTCCCTACTGGTCACACTTCCTCTCTCATGAACACACTGAGGACTAGGTTTCGCACATGTGAGCCTTGAGCGATACACATAAATGATACCTAGACCCTAGCACTTCCCTATATGAATGATGGGTGGAGCTCCAGATAGACAAGCCTGATGGATAGGTCTTACAGTACAGCATACTTTCGATTTACAATACCGTGTCAGTGTGTCCTGTGTGTATGTGTGGTGTTGTGAGATGTATTATTCAATGATGAATAATATCTGAATGACAAGGACACTGTTATGTTATTGGCAGCTAAAATGAGTAAAATTTTAAACTTCATTCTAAAGCAAGCAAACACTCTGGAAATTGCTGGTGTAGTTGGGTTGAGCCTGCTGGGTAAAGTAGTCCTGTCGGTTCATTATCAGATTCTGTCTTCAGCAGAGAGCTGTACACCTAGGAAAGATGGGGGGCTCATGACGAATTTAGAAAAACACATTGATAAATACAGTGAAAGCTCAGCAAGTCAATAAAGAGATCTGAAACAGATTTTTCTGAAATTAAGGATTGAATAATGAAGTTGCTTGCTGAAATACCTTCAGATACTTCCTTTGTGAGTGATGGGATTACAGGTGTGTTTCATGATGCTCAGCTCCTTTTAAAGCTTGAAGAGGGGCTGGAGAGATGGCTTAGAGGTTAAGAACAATGGCTGTTCTTCCAGAGGTCCTGAGTTCAATTCCCAGCACCCACATGGTGGCTCACAACCATCTGTAATGAGATCCGGCTCCCTCTTCTGGCCTGCAGGGATACATGCAAACAGAACACTGTATACATAATAAATAAATCTTTAAAAAAATCTTGAAAAAATTAATTTCCTAAGAAATCATTAATTTGCCAAACTTTACTCAGGAAGCCTGCGTAAACAATGAAAACTTTCTAAGATTATTTTGTCTCTGAAAAACTGTAGAATCAAATGGTTTTTATTAGTAAGTTCTGGGTTTCAAATTTCCAGAAACAAATGCTATGTAAGTCATTCCCAAGCAGGAAGCCACAGAAAGCTCTCTGGTAGGTGTCATGAAACTGTTGTCGAGCTGCTACAAAATGAAGGGAAAGCTGTGCACACAGAAGGTCTGCAGGCTCGTGGTTTCCATCAGGAGGTAATCCTGCTTCCGGAGGATCTGTGGCGATCGATGTCTCCAGACATTCTTGTGAATGTTTTCTTTCTTTTTTCTCGTTTTCATTTTGTCGTGGGGACGGACGCCATGGCCAGGAGCATTAGGAGTGCTCCACCACTGAGTTAGTTACTGGTAACCTTGGAGGACATCCTTAGCCATCTCTACCTGGGTAGGGATGGGAGGCTGAGTGGGGAGAGGTCAGAGGTGCTGTAGACGCCCTATCAAGCACAGGACAGCCACCCAAACCAACTGTCAGCACAGGAGTCCCAGAAATAAAATGCTGACATGCACCGCTTATCATGAATAAGAAAACACTAAGCAAAAAAAACTAGGAAGAGTAATTCACCAAGACCAAAGATAATCCCATTTTTCAGTACTAGATTTAAAATCTATTCTTCATATCAAATAATAAGAACCATTTAATCAACTTAGTAAATGTTCAATAGGTATTGGATAAGATTCCATATTATAAGTCTTTAAGCCTAATATTGAAGAATCCTTCTTAACAGTAAATATTTTAAAAACAAAAACCAACCAACCAACCAAACAAACAAAAAACCCTCTGGTAATCTAATAGTTAATATTTAGCTTCAGAACAGGAGTGGTCTCATTAAAATCAGAACATGGTTACCATAGCAACATTGATAATCCACAGTGTTTAGGAGGTTCAGCCATCAATGTAATTATTTACATAAAACAGAAAGAAGGGTCACTCTTCTTAGAGAGGAGAAAACCATTTTTATGTGAAGACTGCATGCCTACTAGAAAATAAAAGGTCATCAATTTTTTTGAAATTTTTAACTTAAAATATACAGCAAAGTAGCTAAACCAAATGAAATGTCTTGGTGCTAATAATCACTAAGTACGAAATATAATAAGAAAATGCCTTTTTCAAAAGTTTAAAGTACACACACACACACACACACACACACACACAGTGTCCTTGGAGGAACCCTGAGAAAATGCATGTGTAGTCCATATCATAAAAATGTCAAACCTTTAGCACAGCGTGACGGTGCACACCTTGACCCACCACTCCAGAGGCAGAGGTGGTGGATCTGTGAGATCAAGGCCAGCCTGGCTAACACAGGGAGTTCCAGGCCAGCCAGGGCTACCCAGTGAGACTCTGTCTCAACACACACACACACACACACACACACACACACACACACACACACACACACACACACACACTCATACTCACACAACTGCAAATCACACACACCCCGAATCTAAAAGACATAAATAGCAAATTTTGCTTTGTTTCCAGATGTAAAATGTAAATATTACCTACGTGTGGGTTACTGCCAGTTAATGTGTAGATCTCAGCCGTGTGGTACTTCTCCAGCTTTTGCTTTGTTTCCAGATGTAAAATGTAAATATTACCTACGTGTGGGTTACTGCCAGTTAATGTGTAGATCTCAGCTGTGTGGTACCTCTCCAGGACCAGGTGCGGGTGGGGAAACAGGGCTTTTCATCGGTGTTTAGCCTTAAACACACACGTATGTACATAAGTTACTAAAAAGATGAATTTTTAAAAAAACTATGTCCCCCAGAGACATAAAATGAGTATGCCAGCATTTCTTATTTAACTCATTAATTAATTATATGATGTCATCGGTTCAAGGGAAAAACCAGAGTGCCACACGTGCAGACATTGATGTGGGAGTGAGCATCGACCTCCTCCAGCGGAGTGCGACAGTTTGTGTTTCTTTGGACAAATGTAACTGGCAGGGCTCTAATCTTCTGCAGGGTAGGGTTGTAAGTGTGGGGTAGTAGGAATTACACAGAAGCCGGACAGGTGGAGGCCGCCTCTTCTCCCCCTCTTCCTCCTGTTCGTCTCCGAAAAATCTTCCATCATTTTTGCAAATACATGCAAAATAAAACAAAATCTTACCAGTTTACAAAGAATTTTAAATTGTTGAAGCTTATATTTGTTAAAACAAAATATTTAAATCAACCTAAAAGGCCATCAGTTAAGTAGGTAGTTAAACAAATAATACATTCATGTTCTAAAATACAGTGCAATCTTTTGCTTATTTTTCACTTTTCTAAACGTGTTTTTGTGTGAGGTTGTGTGTGTGTGCCTGTGTGTATGTGGCTGTGGATGTGAGGTTGTGTGCATGTATGTATGTGTTTGACTGTGGAGGATGTGTGTGTGTGTGTGTGTGTGTGTGTGTGTGTGTGTGTGACTGGAGTGTGTGTCTGTGGCTGTGGGGGTATATGTGTGAGACTGTGGAGTGTGTGTGCATGTGTGTATGTGTGTGACTGGAGTGTGTGCATGTGTGTGTGTGGCTGTGGGGTGTGTGTGCATGTGTGTATGTGTGACTGTGGAGTGTGTGCATGTGTGTGTGGCTGTGGGGTGTGTGTGCATGTGTGTATGTGTGACTGTGGAGTATGTGCATGTGTGTGTGGCTGTGGGGGGTGTGTGCATGTGTGTATGTGTAACTGTGGAGTGTGTGCATGTGTGTGTGGCTGTGGGGTGTGTGTGCATGTGTGTATGTGTGACTGTGGAGTGTGTGCATGTGTGTGTGTGGCTGTGGGGTGTGTGTGCATGTGTGTATGTGTGACTGTGGAGTGTGTCCATGTGTGTGTGTGGCTGTGGGGTGTGTGCATGTGTGTGCGACTGGAGTGTGTGCGTGTGTGTGTGTGGCTGTGGGGTGTGTGTGCATGTGTGTATGTGTGACTGTGGAGTGTGTGCATGTGTGTGTGTGGCTGTGGGGTGTGTGTGCATGTGTGTATGTGTGACTGTAGAGTGTGTGCATGTGTGTGTGTGTGTGGCTGTGGGGTGTGTGTGCATGTGTGTATGTGTGACTGTGGAGTGTGTGCATGTGTGTGTGTGTGGCTGTGGGGTGTGTGTGCATGTGTGTATGTGTGACTGTGGAGTGTGTGCATGTGTGTGTGGCTGTGGGGTGTGTGTGCATGTGTGTATGTGTGACTGTGGAGTGTGTGCATGTGTGTGTGGCTGTGGGGTGTGTGTGCATGTGTGTATGTGTGACTGTGGAGTGTGTGCATGTGTGTGTGTGTGGCTGTGGGGTGTGTGTGCATGTGTGTATGTGTGACTGTGGAGTGTGTACATGTGTGTGTGTGTGGCTGTGGGGTGTGTGTGCAGGCAGGCAGGCTGCATGGCACTCTTGTGGAAGTCAGAGGACAGCTCTATAGAGTGCCCTTCCGTCTTGACACGGGTGGATCAAACTCAGGCCATTTCACCATGTGGGTCTCGGGGATTGAACTCAGATTGTCAGACTTGGGTGCCATGGCCATTACCCATAGAGCCACTGGCCCAGAGTTGATAATTTTTAAGAAAAACATAAAGATGAAAAAAATGCTGACAAAAGTACATCTCAGTAATGGACATTTCAAGGGAATATTAGCTATTTTGTTTTTCTCTTTATTTGTTTAGTTATTTCTCCTGGTTTTGCTTGTTTGTTTGTTTTGGTTTTTTGAGACAGGGTTTCTCTGTGTAGTTTTGGTGCCTGTCCTGGATCTCGCTCTGTAGCCCAGGCTGGCCTTGAACTCACAGAGATCTGCCTGCCTCTGCCTCCCGAGTGCTGGGATTAAAGGCATGCGCCGAGGCTAGCTAGCCTGGTCTTCATGCCATAAACCAGCTTGGCCTAGAAGTCAAGATTCACTTGGCTCTGTCTCCCAAGCCCAAGATTACACAGTATTACCATGTGTTTTCTCTTGCTTAATCTCTCCTCCTCTTCCCTTAAGAGTCTCTTTGAAGATTATTTTACTTGCTAAATGTTAGGACATAAAGCAAATAGATACTAATATGACCACCAGTCCAATGAGGGGATCATAGAGACACACCACTACCTTTTACTGTTTCTTCGACCACTGGACCCAAACCCTTTCTGTTCTGCCCGTAAGGCAACCCCTTAAAATCCCTCGATTGAGTGAAGAAATCATCATCCCGTGGACGCCCAGTGCCTGCCTGCTCTTTCATCACTGGGTTACGGCTTTCCTGGGGCTAGGACTGCTAATTACCCCTGTGTTTTCTCATGTGTATTTTCTTCCTTCTGCAGAACCAAAAGGAGCCAGTGCCAGTGGTGGTGGTGGCTACAGTGGAGGCGGCGGAGGTGGCGGTGGTGGTGGAGGAGGTGGCGGTGGCAGCAGTGGAAATTTTGGAGGGGGTGGACCCCCCGGATTGGGAGGACTATTCCAGGCCGGAATGCCGAAGCTGAGGTCCACCGCCAACAGGGATAACGGTATCTGCAATTCTTTCTCTGATGTTCAGAACAAGAGACACTTTGGCAGTTTGGAGGCTTGGTGGACCTGCCTGAGGCTCTGCCCTTTAAAAAATTTACATTGTTTAAGATGTCACCCTGTTTTATGAGGGACCCTACAGGACCAGGCAGTCCTGTAGAGTTATGAAATATTTGGACAGGATCCTCGGGGTAGCCCATCCTCCATGCTTTTCTAAAGGGTAAGCTGGAGCCGGAAGAATGGAAAAGGGGAAGTGGGGGATGGGACCTGCCTCCCCCAGACTCTGCCCAGTATCCTGGGAGTGTAGCTTTCTATGTCAGAAGACACACGTAAGTCATTTTCAGATACACCACGGAGAATGTCCTAGAAAATATAGCTACAGACCTCAATAAAGAGCAGCAGGCGCTTTGCGTGGCAGACATTTGGTATCACAAGCCAGTGTTCTGAGTACCGATAGGACATCCCTTGTCTGAAGTCCTGGAGAGTCATATTTTGAACCTCAGACACTGCAGTATTGGCATGACCGTGATGATACAGCTTGAGGATGGGACACAAGCCCATCGCAGAATTCACTTAGGTTTCAAAGAGCCTTGCACACTCAGCTTGAAGGTGAGCTCATGCGACAGTCCGGACCTCTTGCGTTCACCGGAAGTCGAAGTCACTGGTCCTCAGGGGTGGCTGGCTAAGGGGCCTCTCTTGCCAGTCTTGTATTCAAATATAAAATCATTTCCCTAAAACACACAAAGGGATGTTAGGCAGCTGCCAGATGCATGAATTTGGTGCTTTAGCAACGGTCAAGAAATCAAAGAAAAGGAAGTAAAATGAAGACGCAGAAGTCAGTGCCGGCAGACGTGGCGCTGTTTTAAGATAGGTGCTGACTACAGCTCCCAGGTGAGTTTGGAAGACACAGCATAAGCTGGTGACACAGGTTATATCACCTAGTCCAGATAAAGACAGCTTTACAAGGCTAAAATCACAATTAAAGATTATCTCAGGTTCATGTTACTCCTCTGAATAAACCTATCCAAGTGCTTCTTGTGTGGGGGATAAAAATCTAACTCTTTCTGGCCTACAAGGCTCTTAGTAGCCTGGCCAGTGGGGCTCCATTTCCTGTGGACTCAATCCTGCCGGGCTGTGGCACCCAGGCTTCTGTCCATGTCATCAGGGCCTTTGTGCCCACAGGCCCTCATTACCTCAAGTACACTCTGCCTCATCTTCCCCAAGCTGGCCACTTCCTGTTAGCCTCAGCTCCCAAGCCTATCCCCAGAGGCAGTCTCCAGCCCCCATCAGATCTGACCTCTCTTGATTTGGCTTCTCTTTAGTGCTAATATCTGTTAGAAAAAACCTCTCTACCAGCTTATCATTTGTCTCCCCATAAGAATATAAAATACAGGAGAGAACTTTTGTGTTTTGCTTATCCAGCTGTTTCTAACATCTAGAAAAATGGGTGTACAGTAAATATTTGTGCATTATTTAATTCACAGTTGAAGTGAAAGATGTTTCAGTGGTAACCATTTTTTCAGGAATTACTTGAGGGAGAGATGGCTCAGGGCTTAAGAGCATTGGCTGCTCTTGCAGAGGACCTGGGTTCGATTCCCAGCACCTTCATGGCATGACAAGGCCAGCTCCAAAGGATCCAAGGGCGCTGTAAACATGTGACGCACATATGTAACATTCGGGCAAAACACTCAGAATCATAATATAAACATAAGTGAATCTTTAAAAAAAAATGAAAAAAGAATTACTTTGGGTTTTAGACTTGCGAGGGGCTGTTTAGATTTCCTTTCTCCTTTCCCCTTAGTTCTTCCTTAATCATTTAGTTTGGCTGAATATCTACTACACTGGCTGAACAAAGGCCTTACAGAATTGTTACATCCAAGTGTGTGTGGAGGGGTGGGGGTGTTGCCTACTTCTTTGCAAATGAAGTTCTTACTGGTTTCAATTTTTCCTTCCTAGTTTTTTTTTTTTAATGCACGAAGTCCCACCCCTACACACACACTTCTTGAGCATTTTTTTTTTCTCAAGGGGACTAGGTAAACCCTCCCACACAGAGACTTACTCTGGAGTAACCGCATTCACTCACCTAAGATGACTGACTAAATTGTTTCAAATCCGAGAAATGAGAGGACCAGGCGAATACAGAGGGCAGTGGAGGGCCACGACAGCTCTTAGCACAAATCTCCACAGACTGTGCACGCCTTCTGTGCAGTCAGAGACCTCTCCGGAACTCTCACCACGGACGCTTTAGTGCATTCTTTTGAAAGTCTGGCTGTAAAACCTGTACTTGGAAGATAAACAGAGCTGTATGTCTCTGCCTCCAGGAGACCCACACAAACATATCAAATAGTGTTAGAAAGCTAGTAGATTAGCGTAGCTCGGTGGGAAAGGGCCAGCACCCACCCTTGCCCTCTGGTTTACTTGGGGTCACTCGCTTTTCGAGCCCGTGTCTGTTTTCTCTTGTTCTTTAGATTCTGGAGGAAGCCGACCACCGATTTTGCCACCCGGAGGAAGAGCCACATCTGCCAAGCCCTTTTCGCCCCCCAGTGGCCCGGGGCGGTTCCCCGCACCCTCACCAGGACACAGGAGTGGTCCCCCAGAGCCACCCAGGAACCGAATGCCTCCCCCCAGGCCTGACGTGGGCTCAAAACCCGATAGCCTTCCCCCTCCGGTACCAAATACGCCGAGACCCATTCAGTCGAGTCTGCACAACCGGGGGTCCCCGGCAGGGCTGGGGGCCCCCAGGCCCCCCTTTCCCGGAAACCGAGGTGCTGCTTTTGGAGCAGGCTCTGTGCGTCAGAACCCCTCGAGCTCCTCCTCTCCATTCTCCAGGCCCCCTCTGCCCCCCACCCCCAGCCGAGCCTTGGATGACAAGCCCCCTCCACCACCTCCCCCGGTGGGCAACAGGCCCTCCATCCACAGAGACGCCGTCCCATCTCCTCCCTCACAGAACAGCAAACCTCCAGTGCCTTCCACCCCACGGCCTGGGTCCGGGTCCCAGGCACCACCTCCTCCGCCACCGCCCAGCCGCCCGGGCCCTCCTCCCCTGCCGCCGACTTCCAACGATGAGATCCCAAGGCTGCCACAGCGGAACCTGTCCCTCACCTCCTCTGCACCTCCTTTGCCTTCACCTGGACGCTCCGGGCCTCTCCCTCCCCCACCCAACGAGAGGCCCCCTCCTCCAGTGAGGGATCCGCCAGGCAGATCAGGTATGGCAAGACTGCCAGCATCATGTCCCTGAAACCCTCTCCCTCCAGTATCTCAAGCCACACTTTAAGTCAAGAGCAAGTAAAGCCTTGGAAGCTGCACAGTTGGTAGGCTGCCAGGGTGGAGACATGGCAAACCTCGAGGAAGGGGCCAGGTGGTCTGTGCCTAGTAGGTGAGCAGACTGGCCGACCAGCAAGTCCGCAGTGGATAGTGAAACGGCGGGAGCTTTCATATTCCACCCTGCCCTGCTCTGCTAACCGGAAGCTGGGCTGTCTTGGTTGGGAGTAAGTTCCCATCTCACTCTTCCTACTTCTCCTTCTCTCCAAGCCAGACTTTGAGTGCACTTCTCTGCCCATTCAAGACAAATGTTTAAAAACGCAGTTTAGGCGAGCCGGAGAGGTAGCATGTTCAGAGGTTAAGAGCACTTCCGACCATTAGTAACAAATGTCCCCGCAAAAGCCTATAGCCCCAGCGCAGAGGGCGGCCAGAGACGGGAGCCCCAGGTTCAGGAAGAGACTCGTGGCTCATATGTTACATTTTTGAAAAAATTATTTCAAATGAGTAGGTAATATATGTCTTTATTTTATATCCCTGGCAAGCCTGGAACTCATTCTGTAGACTAGTCTAGCCTTAGACTCACAGAGATCCATCTCCCTCGGCCTCCAGAGTGCTGGATTGTCTGTAGTACTTTTAATTCACTTTTTTACTTACTGCTCCTTGGCCACACTGTTGAGAGAGGTGACAGCTATAAGGACCCAAGCCCCACACCTGCTAGCAGCACACTCCGGGGCAGGACCCACCACCTACTGTCTGTGGATCAGCAGCACCCCTCTGCCCTCCCACCCCTACCCCCCAAGAGGAATAATCTAGAAGTGACTCCCACAGTTCTCCAGATGACCATGTTTGGTTTCCTGGTGCCACTTTCTCCTGGACACAGATCCTGTGTCTCATGGAATGTGCTTGTGTGATCTGCCATAATATACTACACATCTAAAAACTTAGTGCTGGGGCCAGCAAGATAATGGGCTCAGCCAGGTTAGAATGTTTGTGACTCAAGCCTTGTGGCCCGAGTTTGATCCCTGGAATCCAGGTGCAGGTGACAGGGAAGACTCTCCAAGGTTGCTCTCCGACCTCCTTATGCGTGCCATGGCACATATACATACACACAAATAGTTTATTTTTTTTATTTAAAAAACTTAGTTCTTCTAAAGACCTAAACTAATTTTATAACTATTTTACCCCTTTTAAAAATTTCTTTTTATGGTGTCATAATAATTAGTTCAATAACTTTAAAGGATAAAGTGCTTTTTTAAATGCCATGGTTGTCAATATAAATAGATTATCTGTTTTCAGTTCCACTGTTTGGTCTCCAGCCTCAGTGGTAACTTGAAGCCACACAGCAGGTTAGCTGCCATTGTATACACTTAAGCCACATATCCACATGGATGTATGTCCGCTTCCTCTTGATATCCGTGACCAGAAGGGCTCCACCAGTTCTCATTTTCCCTAGTTAAAGGGTGTGTATTCAGCAGGCGCTCCACCTTGCACAGTGATGATGACCACGGTGGCCATGTGGATATAAGGCAACGCGTCACTGAATGTCTTGTCTCTTGCTCCAGGCCCCCTCCCTCCACCTCCTCCGATTAGCAGAAACGGAAGCGCACCCCGGGCCCTGCCTGCCACCCCTCAGCTGCCATCCAGGAGTGGAGTAGACAGCCCCAGGAGCGGGCCAAGGCCTCCTCTTCCTCCAGACAGGCCGGGTGCCGGGGCGCCGCCCCCTCCCCCGCCATCAACATCAGTTCGAAATGGCTTCCAAGACTCATCCTGTGAAGGTGTGTGACGTTTGCTTATTTGAAGTGCTTTTTCTGGTTCTGTCATTGTTATCCATACTGCACCAAACTGACATTTAGTTCTAACTAACTAACTAACTAACTAACTAACTAACGTAGTGAGGCTCACTAGTCCTGTGGCGATAGCCTTTCTCTTCCAAAAAGAGAGCTCGTTTTTTTCTCATTTGTTCTCATTTGCGTTTCAGTGTGGCTAACTCATCAGTTCCAATGTAATTCACCAGAGATTTTGTCATGGTTCTTTCGTGTTTGTAAATTACCGTCTGATGACCTGCGTCTCTACACAGTTGGCTATAAGGAACAGTGGCCCACAGTTAATAAGTTGCTTCCTTCTGCCGTGTTAGGCTCAGCTGTTCTTCCAGAGGACCTGGCTTTGATTTCTAGAGACCACGGGGTGACTCACAACCATGTGTAACTCCAGTTCCAGGTGATCAGATCCAATGCCCCCCTGGCCTTCACAGGCACTGGGTACATACATACATGATACATAGACATACATGCAGCCAAAACACCCATACACATAAAATAAAAATAAGATGAAAAAATTTTAAATGTACCAGTTATTCCTGGGCCCAGCGATGGGAAGAAAAGTGCCCTGTATCTTAGCCTCCATCTCCTGAGAGAGAGACCTGCTGGAGTCGATATCACTCCAGTTCCAATCATTTTGCTTTGCTGTGCAGGCCAGGATCAGTGAGGGAGCCGGGCACACGGGTCACACTGTCAGCTTCTCTGTGCGCTTCCAGCCACGAAACCTGAGCTGGTTTCTGAGTGGTCTGTCTCTTTGCCGTTCTTCCCCAAGTCTTCCCAGCAGATTTCTTGTGCTGAGGTTGTTTGTTTCTCCTCCAGATGAGTGGGAAAGCAGATTCTACTTCCATCCGGTTTCCGATTTGCCACCTCCAGAACCGTATGTGCCAACAACCAAGACGTATCCCAGCAAACTGGCCAGAAATGAAAGCCGGAGTAAGTACCTCCGAGGGGGCGTTGTGCAGGCTGGCACTGTGAAAGCCTGGGCTCCCCCTGAGTTGCACAGGAATACCAGGCCTCTTGCCTGGAGTGGAACAGAAAGCCCCGCCTGGAGCTGTCTGCCCACTGGTAGCCTCTCAAATACACCCAGAGTAGGAAAGGACCCTCTGAAGGTGACATTACTAGCTCAGAACACTGCTGACGTATCAGTGTTAAGTTCTCTTACTTGGCTTCTTTGGGTAATCTCCCCCATTTTGACCTTCCTAGGACAGCAAAGGTCAATCCATCTAATTCTATTCCTTCTAGCTTGAGACTGGCGAAATGTCATATAAATTAAAACAAAGCACTGCCTTGATCTTTCAAATGTATTGTGACCCCAGTTTTGTGGTTATGGTGTCTGAAAATGTTGACTAGATCTATAATCTCACAGAGCAGATACTTTCTTTTTACCAGATCCTCTTCCCGTTGCTATCCATCTCGTTCTGACTTTTTACACAGTGGAAACGACAGTAGACCATTTTCGGTGGTCGGTTTTTGCATCGCACTGCTGAGTAAACACACCCCTGTATTATCACATGGTTTTAGTCCACGGGCGCCCATTAAGTCTGCGTGGAGGATTTGGCCAGGGTTGCACATTTGGATCGTTTCCCATTGCTTGCTAATGTCTGCACTGCCTGCCGTAATGAAGCACATCCTTCCTCCCCGGTGGAAGGAGAAATGTGAACACAAGGTGAACAGACACGCTGGAATTTCACAGCAGTACCTACACAGGACAAAGGAAAAATTAACACGAAATATGCAAAAGTAGCACTGAGGAGGTTCGAGCTTGTGGAGGCCAAAGCCTCAGAACCAGATCCCTCAAATCAGACACAGCACCCATAGCCAGGTCCGCGCTCCCCAGCAGAGTATCTCATAAACATCCAGAGCCTCTCAGTCTCTCTCAGCACACAGATCTCACACAGCTATTGGTCCGTGAATTCCCGGCCTTTGAGCAGCTGAAGATCAGTGGAAATTAAGGCTAATTGGAGACAAAGTCACTGATTTTAGGAGGAACTTACAAAAAAATGGCAGGGTCCAAAGAAGAGCCAGGGCCACGGAATTGTGCCTTGGGTTACATACCTTGGTTACCATAACAGCAGTTTTTATTCTGTATGCTTTGAGTTAAATGAAACAAATCAAATATTTGGTTTGTGCCTCTGACTTCAAAGAGTTAGGAAATATTGTAGGGAATTTTCCAAGAGCAAATGCCAGAAGTAAAATATTGTTACTTGAAAGAAAACCTCTAATCCTAGAAATTTCATTTAGTTGGAATTCTGCATTTGTAGGCAAAGCGTGCCCAAAGTTACAACTATAAGGAAACGCTCATGTTGGTGGCTGAAGTTTTAGATGAAAATAAGCATTCACGTGAAACAGATGTGCCTTTGGTTATTTTGTGAATGAGTGTGTGTGTGCCCGTGTGTGTTCATCTGTAGGGCATGTCTATCTGTCAAGGGAACTAGAATGAATTCACTGAAGGAGTTGTTTAAACTCCAAATACTTCCCTTATTTATCATAAGCATTCTTAACAGAATTTAAATATCACTCATGTTGTGAAATCAATAGCAGAACCGCCTTCCCATGCCCTCTAGATTTCGATGTTATAGCGAAACATACCCCTTCCCCATCCTCCTCTCCTTTTGACTCCAGTGAGTGACTTGAGGACCAGAACAATGGCCTGCTCCCTATTACAGAGTTCTTGAGTGACATAGACCCCGAAAGACAGTAGGTGTCTAAAATAGTTTTTAAATTGGTAATTTTTCACTGCCACCCCCAATTTTAAAGATTTGCTTTCAATATTAATGGAATGTACTTAAAACAAATTTTTTTTTTTTTTTTTTTTTTTTTTTTTGGTTTTTCGAGACAGGGTTTCTCTCTGTAGTTTTGCGCCTTTCCTGGAACTCACTTTGTAGACCAGGCTGGCCTCGAACTCAGAGAGATCCTCCTGCCTCTGCCTCCCGAGTGCTGGGATTAAAGGCGTGCGCCACCACCGCCCGGCAAATTTTAATAGCAAATCATCTAATGAAAATAAAGTTCTACCACAGGACATGTTTTATTCTGCTCCTCTATCTGCCTCAGCCTCTCAGACAAAGGCAGGGGAAGGGGGTACACTTTGAATGGTGCCTCATTGCAGCCTTGTTCAAGGCTACCTCTTAGCTCACTGGCCACGTGTGGTATGTTAGGTGACAGTCAGGTGGCATGGCGGACTTACATCCAGATAAGTCTTTGTGCAGATGACATCTCAAGAAAAGATTTAGGGGGCTGGAGAGATGGCTCAGAGGTTAAGCGCACTGGCTGCTCTGCCAGAGGTCCTGAGTTCAATTCCCAGCAACCACATGGTGGCTCACAACCATCTAAAAATGAGATCTGGTGCCCTCTTCTGGCGTGCAGGCAGACATGCAGGCAGAACACTGCATACATAATAAATAAATCTTTTTTAAAAAAGCATTAGTTGGAATGGTGAAAGGGAGAGGCAAGACTGGACTGCCGTGTTTTCCTTACTCAGACCCTTGCTCTGTCCCAGAAGTCCCTGAGTCCATAGATTCCCTGCAGGATGGATGCTGAGGAACCGATCAGTGCAACCAACACTCTAAGTTTAGAACATGCATGAATGACACGTGCCTCTGGTAGACCTGCCCACAGCATCTGAGCATCTAGCATGAATGACACGTGCCTCTGGTAGGCCTGCCCACAGCATCTGAGCATCTAGCATGAATGACATGTGCCTCTGGTAGGCCTGCCCACAGCATCTGAGCACCTAGCTTCCTGCCTCATACCTGTTAGATCCTCCAAGATGCATGGCAGATGAATGGACACTTTTAAATGTGAGTGGATTTTAAACCTGGTCCCAGTGCAATCATAACCCACAAGTGGTCTTTCATGGCTTTAAAAAGCACGCAGTAATAGAGTGAAAGGAAAACACAGAAAATATTTGGTAATCATCTCTGATAAGAGATTAATAAGCAGAATTTATACGAATTCCTGTAACTTAACAATGAGAACAAACTGGGCTGGTGAGAATGCTTCCTGGGTAAAGGCCCTTGCTGCCAAGCCTGACTTCAATCCCTGGGGTCCATGTGGTGGAAAGAGAGATCCGACTCCCATGAGTTGTCCTCTGAGCAGGTTGTGAAACGCTTGTGCCTCCTATATCCACAATAAATAAGTGTAAAAACATTTTTAAATTAAAAATTAAAAATAGATTCAACACTTCAGTAGACATTTTTAGAGAAGGTATGTGCGTGGCTGATAAGCATAAGAAAGTTGCTCAATACCACTAATCTTTATGGAACTGTAAAAGGCCACAGTGAGATACAACTTCCCTGGATTCATTAGCCTAACCCAAGAAAAAGAGACTGACCTACAGGACAGGCTATACAATACAATTCAATGTGCCACCAGTTATTATATTTTCACGGAGTACTAGCTTGGGAAAATGTTATAGAATCTTAACTTAGGATCCTATTTCTGAGAAAAAAAAGTGTCAAACTGTGTCAAAATGGAAAACACACACACATAATGTTGATCTGGGGGAACAAGCAGGTGTGAGTTTTTTGTTTTGTTTTTGTTCATCTGTATTTTCTAAATCTTTAATCCATACACACTATACGATGAAAAGAAACACATTTATTTTTACATAACTGTGAGGAGGTACTCAGTCACCAGTACCCATCACATACTCAGTCGCCAGCACCCATCATCATCTACTTGTTTATGCACATCACAGCCTGCTTCCCTACTTCCAGCCTTGATCTCTGGGTAAGCCAGTGAGCACCTTTGCAACTGCCATGGAGTTTCCACAGGAAACACAAGCTTCTAACCAAAATTATATTTCATCTGTTGTTGTTGTTTTTTTTTTTTTTTCATCAAGGTGGATCCAACCGAAGAGAAAGGGGTGCCCCACCCCTTCCTCCCATCCCGAGGTGATCTCTGACTGCTCGTCTCTACCCAAGCTCCAAAGCTGCTTGTGTTGTTGCTGTTTGAAAACCGCACGCCCCCTCCCCTTCCTCTGTCCCTCTCAGAGACAGTAGGAGGGAAGAACGAAGCTGGGGGTAGGTGCGTTGGTGGGGGGAGGGGATCAGGAAAGACGCGCCTAGCTGTTTATGTTGTATATAGTCTTGAGCTCTTATTGCTTGCGTCAGCTGCAGCCTGCCGGGGTTGGCTGCTGGGATCGATAAGCTTTTGTTCCGAGTAGGCAGAGACGAACTGTATCCCAGCTTTCAGCCCCACGAAGTCAGACGTTTTCACTGCTTATTTGCTACAGGCTGTAGTTGTTAAATTCCCCGAGAGCTGGTTTTGTCCATGCCTTTCTCGCTCACATGGCCTCTGGTCTGTTTCCATGAACCACAGACTGCCCGAGCAAGTTGCTGAACAAGCCTCACGTAAATGAAGCCCTGTGGTTATCCAATATCCAATCTTTGGCAGCCTGAGGTAGGCTCCAGGGCAGAGTTGTCTAACAGAAACATGCTGTGAGCCCCATACCCAATCTTAAAATGACCAGCAGCCATGTTTTGTAAAGATAAAAAGAAACAGGTGAAAAGAATTCCATTTTTCTTAACTCTGTGCATCTGAAATACCACGTTGACCTGTACTCAATATAGAAATTATGAGATATTTATATTTTGGTACTAACTCTTCACACTCCGGTGATCATTCTGTACTTAGAACAAACACATCACCAGGTTTTGGGTGTCCAGTAGCCACACGTGCCTAAGTACCATACTGTCAGACCGTCTGGATCTGGAAGATAGGAGCTGGGGCAGAAACCTCTGGTCTACACAGGCAAATTGAGTTTTCAACAATTCAAGAGATGCCCCAGTACACGGTCAGAACTCAGTACCGTGTTTGGCAGGACAGTGAGACGTTGGATCTTGGTTCCTTATTTTGCCTTTTTCCTTAATACATATGTACAGGTGTTTCTTCAGAGTGTCTGTCAGAAGGTGATCTAGTACAGTTTACAGTCACATGGAATAAAGCAACTAAACTGTAAGCCGGTGAGCACTTCCCAGCTCAGGACCAGCTCGATAGTCAGCCTTGCAGATCTCAAGTGGCCCTCAGTCCTCCACCCCAGAGCAACTCCTTCCTCAGGGCCAGCAGGAAAGGCCAGGAAGGCAGAGAAGGTATAAAACCAGAATTGTGGGGGAAGGGAACAGATTTGAGATGATGGGCAGAACTCTTCAAAACCCACTGAGGTCAAGTGGATTAAGGAGCTTACCAGTAGAAACTGGGAAGAACTAGTTTTGAATCTCTTGGGAGAATCACTTGTTCTGGACCGATGTAGAGAAGGGAATGCCCTGTAGGACCACAGAAAGGACCAGGCTTGCCTTTTTCTATACATATAATTTTGTTTACAATTTTACTGGGACTTTTGAATCTAGCTATAGAGTTGGAAAAAGATTTCCATTTTGATGTTTTATATAGTTATGTTTAATATTACCATGGTCTATTTTAGCACATGGCCACATGTGTGTATGTACCTGAACTTTGTATTTGGGGTCCAGTGTATTGCTCACATGTTGCTGGGAGATGCTAACAAAAAAAAAATCAATCCAAAGAAAAATGGAAAGACATTTCTATTTATAGAATAATTGTTTCATTTATATGGAAGCAGAACTTAGGAGTTCTAATAGATGAAATGTCTAATAAATTATGAAGTGACTGATTTGAATATTTTGTATTTTTATAACTTTCCTTGCCAAAGCCCTGAACTTAGAACTTTAAAGAGTCATTCTCCTCCCTTCTCCTCTGCCATTTGTCTGTCTTCCATGAGAATGAAGAAATAAAAGGCTTCACAAGCTTGACATTTTTTATTTCTAACATTTTTATAATGTATTTTGAATTCTTTGTGCGATGTTCACTATACTAAACATCTTTTTGATAGACTCCAAGTGACCCACTCTGCTAAAAATAGAATTGTTCCTTTCTCGTGCTATGTATGGCAGATAAAAGTCTGACTCAAAAGACGTGGGTCTGAATTTTTTAAGGGATAGTGAAAACTGGACAAGTCCTAGCATGTCTCAATTTTTTTGGGTACTTTTCTAAATTAGAAATAGGATCACAGCTCAGAGTTGCCATTCATAATAAAGAAGTTTTAGAATGTATTTTTCAAAGAATGTTTCAGTAATACACTTTACATCCTTTCTCTAGAAATTAGGAACCCAGTTGCATCTGAAACTCTGGGGAAGTTCTGTGCTTAGCTAAACCTATAGCAGATCACAAAAAAAAAAAAAAGACTTTTTTTTTCCCCTGAAATCAAAGCTTACATGTATGTTTTTTTCATAATATTTCCAGTTATGTGTATTCAAGATGCAATACAGTATTTTAACATTCACAAATCATTTTATATGGAAATATATTGCAGTATTAAAATTCAGTGTTCAGTGTTTCCTTCACTATGCATTTTATTTACTGAAAGCTGAGAAATGTTTAACCCAATGGTGCCTTACTCTGTGATCTGAAAGGAGTCGACTTTTTGTGTCCAAGTATGGATTATTTGCATATTTGTAAAAACTGTTAGGCCTTTATATTTTAACTTGTAATAGCAATTTTATTATTGTAATAGCAGAAACAGGGTGGTTATTACAGTATCCTCAAATTTGGGGTATGAAATGGAGTTTCTCTGTTTATAGGCAGGGGCTGTAGAGGAATTTTTTTCATACCACCGCACTGTGTAAACAGACACTTAGGTCTCTGTGTCTTCAGGGTAGTTAAATGGTAGGGTAGACTCTACCCTCAACACCTGCGTCTTTGTATTAGCCAGACAATAAATAAAACACGGAATGATACGGTGTCAACTTGTGGCTTTCTTATCTATGTAAATATAAACAAAAAAGGTGAATGTCTGCCTCCTGTTTTATACTATGGGAGAGACAAACTCAGAAAAGGTCCTCTAAAGTAAGTAAATACTCATGACTCATCACACCTCAAGATCCCTTCGCGTCTGTGTTTCCTGAGACTACAGCTTAGTCAGTCTGTAAAGTGGATGCTGGAAGCAATGGAAGAGGGGGACTAACATGGGCACAAACAGATCTGGGAAAGCCACAGGATCCTAGCAACTGGAGAGCTTCCTAAACCATTTGTCATGCACGTGTGCCTGGAATGCATGCTCCTCGGCACAGCACAGTAGTTGAGCGTCAGAAGACCTGGCCTCATTTCTTTGTTCCGGGTTGTTTCTCTAACCCCCGCACTGTAGGTGCAAAGTGAGGAACCATCTAACAGCATCAACATGTATTAGACCAGGTGAAGCACTCGGCACTGACTTACTGGAGCGACGGAGCGAGTGGTCTCCACCAGCATTCATGCAGCGATCCCAAGTTCATCCGAGTGCAGTCCGCTGGAGGAGGGTTCGCTGGTGGGATCTGACAGGACACAAGCACTAGCAGGGGAATAACCCCACCAGAAGTCCAAGCTCTGCACTCAGGGTTTGAGGATATGGTTCATCACGTCAGGGCAAGCGTGGACTACAGGCTGCATCTGCAGTCGGGAAGGGGAGAGAAGCAGTGCTGCTTCTCAGCTTGCTCTCTCCTTTTTATGGAATGATGGCCATGGAATGATGCTGCCCACAGCGAGGGTGGATCTCCCCAACCCCTTTGATTAGAAGAATCTAGAAACTTGACAGTCATTCCCCGAGGCTTTTCTCCTGGGTGATCCAGGTCCTGTAGACAATATTAACACATCATTCTCATGTTAACAGTCAATCAGGTTCAATCTGAAGTCACAGAAATTAAGAGCCAGAAAGAACCTTCTAGATAGGGCAGCTATAGAACGCATGTCTACAGTGGGATACTTCTGAGTAGAAAGTGATAAGCTTCCATGGCACAGCAGGTAACCAATGAGGCTGCCTCAGCACATGTGGTCTTTTCTCTCAGGAGTCATTCAGTCCAGCCCTGTCGTCTCTCAGATGGGCAATTGAATGTCCATCAAATGGCAGCTGTGGACACAAGGACACACAGTGGGGTGATGAAAATCCTCCCTGACCTGTTCCATAGGTCTCACGCTTGTTGCAAAGGAAAGCCAATGGAGAAGCCACAGAGTCAGCATGCTTACACTCACACACATGCATGCGCGCACACACACACACACACACACACACACACACACACACACACGTACACAAACCTGGGTTTGGACCCCAGCTCAGGCATTTCTCCTGTAAGGCCACAGATGGGTTACCTAACCACTCTGCATTCCCTCCCTCCACTGTACAATGCTTACAACAACACATACACAAACCTCAGGCGAAACAACATGTACTTGGTGCTCCATAACAGTCAATTCTAAACCATTTGCTAGTCCTGCAGCAAACACAGACTACAGACAGGGAAGAATTCTCCACACCAAGAAGTCTGATGAAATTTAATTACAGAGTGGTTAGAATTAAAAATTCGTTTGTTAAACTGAAATTGCTTATTTGTTTATCTATTCAGTAAGACTTTAGTGAACAGTTGGTGTGAGCTAGCTTCCTGTCAACAGAAGAGCAGCCCACCATGTCTATTGTCAGAGGAGTGACCTCAGAGTGCTAGAGAGGCCACTGTGTATGGAGGGACTTCATTCAGCCAGCATGGGGCTTTCTGTAACAGACACTCCGATGCCCTTCTCCCCGCCCCGTTAAGTAATGTGTCTAGTTCCTTTGTTCCTGTCGTCTCAATGGGTAAATTACATCATTTTGTCTTTAATTTTTAGCCTACAGGAAAATTGGGAGGAAAAAAACCCCAAGTATTTAGAAAGGTTTTTGATGGCCAATTGATGTGGGGAAGGGTTGTTTCAATTCTTTTGAAAGGTAAATTCAAGGATTCCAGTTGCCTAAATAGTCCAGCTAACCGGAGGCTTCCTGGATTAATAATGTCACCAGTTCACGTAGACTGGCCCTTCTTTCCCGTCATCCCTGTGGCCTTGCTCTGCCCCACTTGGAACACCCGCTACCCCATGTCTAGCTAGCTAGGAACTTACATTTCAGAGACCCACATGTAAGTGGCTGGTGAGTGTTTAGAAATGTCCCATCAGCATTACAACACAGATCCCTTTGTCTTAAAATATTGCTTCTGTTAGTACACAGGTTCGTTTGTCCTGCAGCTAATAAAACTCAAGCTTTGGGGACCCCACATACAAACATACTGCAAGACGAGTCCACTAATTAAGGTTAGTCAGTCAGTGGGTTATCATTCTCTTTAGCTCCTGGGGCAGAACTCAGCCAAAGAGAATGTCTTGAAACTTTCCTAAGGTACCAGTCTCCCATGAGTGATGAGGATGCTGACAGACGGAAGACGGCAGCTGTTTGCTTCCTTTCGTACCCCAAGCATCACCAGAAACACTCGGGTCATTGGCTCTCCAAGTTGCCTGCACTGCTTTGGAATCCGAAGCCCCACAATGTGTCGTCTTTCTAGGGAACTACATTTGACCCTTGAGGTGCCTGGGAAACAAGCCTGGATGTTCTCAGCTTAAATCAGTGGTTCTCCACCTTCCTAATGCTGCAGCCCTTTAATACAGTTCCTCATGCTGTGACGCCCAACCATAAACTTGTTTTGTTGCTACTTCATAACTGTATTTTTGCTACTGTTATGAATCCTAATGTAAGTATCTGATATGTAAGACATCTGATATGCGACTCCTGTGAATGGGACATTTGGCGCAAGGGGTCTTGACCCACAGATTAAGAAACACTGGCTTACCCGGGCGGTGGTGGCGCACGCCTTTAATCCCAGCACTCGGGAGGCAGAGGCAGGCGGATCTCTGTGAGTTCGAGGCCAGCCTGGTCTACAGCGCAAGATCCAGGAAAGGCACAAAGCTACACAGAGAAACCCTGTCTCGAAAAACCAAAAAAAAAAAAAAAAAAAAAGAAACACTGGCTTAAATTTTCAGCAGCAAGCCTGCTGAACACCTGGAATACACATCACAGATGCCAGAGCTTCAGCCAGGAGCTCCTCCCCCACTTCCTGTTTACAGCCTTTCTCAAGTAAGGTAAGAGTCACTCATCAAGGCTAGTATGGGCTTCTGATAGTCCCAGAACCAAGCAGCAGCAGCCCATATGGGAAGACCCAAGAGCTTCGAAGCTTTTATATGCTTACTCACTCATTCACATCATCGCACACTGGTGAAGAACGATGCATTAAGCCTTGGGAGTAAGAAGGTGTGTATTATGCACTTTGTAAGTATTGGTCTTAGTGTCAAGGGTGTGCATTGTAAGTGTACATCCAACCAAACTTCAGACAAGTAGGCACAGCCCCACTCAAGCACTGTTTCTGGAACATTCTTCACCATCAACACAGGGCTGCTTGGTTGACTGTGCACATGAAAGGGGTATTTCCTCTTAGGCTTATTCTTTAATGGTTTACTCTTCGAACAAAGACCTGAGAAGCCCCCAAGTGAGGTCAGGAGGCAGGGAACACTGAGCGCTGTGGTAAAGGCAATGAATGATACTATTCCATCAACACTCTGCCTGATGTATTTACCTAAGTAACAATACCTACAGGCTGTGTTAATGTTTCATGTAATCGCCACTACTTGTCATCTACCGTGTGCTGTAAACTTGAACTAGGGTCTCTGCACATGGTTACTGTATGTATTATCACTCATCTTTGCATCTTTACACATAGAAAAACCCAGGTCAGGAGAGACGGCTCCGTGATTAAAAGTACTTGCTGTACATGCATGAGGACCCGAGTTCAGATCCCCAGCACCCACGTAAAGGTCTGCATGCCTGTATCCCCAGGATCCACATAAAGGTCTGTGCGTGCCTGTATCCCCAGCATCCACGTAAAGGTCTGTGCGTGCCTGTATCCCCAGCATCCAGGTAAAGGTCTGTGCGTGCCTGTATCCCCAGCATCCAGGTAAAGGTCTTTGCGTGCCTGTATCCCCAGCACGGAGGGGCAGAGATAGGCAGATCCTGAGCTTGCTGGCCAGCCAGCCAGATGAACTAGTGAGCCTCTGGTTCAATGGGAGACCCTATTTCAAAGCTATAACATAGACAGCAATAAAGGAAGACACCCAACCTCCTACCTTGACCTCTGTAATGGCACTCAAAGGCCCACCTGAACACACACACACACACACACACACACACACACACACACACACACACACATACACACACTCCCAAAAATGTAATTATTTTTTAAAAAAGAGAGAGAAATCAAGGCCCAAATTTGCCTCAAGACAGTTGCTTCTTGTGGATCCAGGGTTCGAACTCAAAAATAATGCTATTCCATAAAGACAGGAGGGGCAGCTACATAACACAGCTTAACGAGAAGCTTTACAGTGCCCTGATTCTGCTCACTGGACATGGATGGACTGACTCCATCCCTATACCAGTGTTGACCACCTGGGACATATTGCTGCCTCCTCCATCATCATTGTCATCATCACCCTCTTCCCCATTATCCTCTTTCTCCCCCTCAGGTGTTGATATATAGCCCAGACTGGCCTGGGTACCAGGCATGCAGGCAGGGCTAATGTGCTCACCTGCATTCTGTTCCTTGTATGTGATCTAACCTCCTTCCCTTCTCCCATTCTGTACTCTCCCAGGTGGCTGTAATGCTCACCTTGAGGCTTTGAAAGGGACATTTACCCATGCGCCTTTCGGTTTCCAACTGTCAGAGACCCATTCCAAAGGGACCTCGGAGAAGCTGCTAAAACACGGCTGTTATTTCATTCAAAGGTTTCAGATTTCTGGAACTCTCCATGGACGAGCCAAACTGTAATGTGAAGAGTTAACTTCCCTCTTGTGTACCTTTCTTCGTTTTGACTATCCAGTATTTGTGGGGTACTTTTGTGAATTCATCTTTTATTCTCCTTGGAG